GTGGGGACAAGTCCTGGAAATATTTTATTGCCAAGTGACTGAAACCCTGTTCGGAGCTTAATGCTTCACAAGCAAACAGCAACAGCTTAGGGAAAATGGACTCAGGTTTTCTGCATTGGGCTCCTCCAGCCTTGACAAGCGTGACAACTCTATTTGTTAACTAGTGTGATGGATTCAGATGACTCTGGAAAGTTTTACCTCATATAAGAAATGGTGCAAATGTCCCCTACAAAAACGGCTGGGGAGATACATCATCAGAATGGTCTAGAAATGCATCCAAAATGGTCTGTAGATTGCCCAAAGAAAACAGAAGCAATTTTCTGAGAAGATTGAATAGAAATATTGAATGGACGCAACTTCATCTAATACCCACAGAGTTCATGTGAAAGTGTAATTAAGAAGACTAGGGCTGGAGGATAAAAAATAAGGTAAGAGCCACCAAATGGTTCTTTACTAATTTTTTTGAGGGTCACAGCCCATTTTTTAATATTATGATAGGAAGCACAAGGCTAAAGTGAGTTTTCAAAGACTTGGCTGCACTCCCATAGTCTCTCTGTAATGCTGTTTGCAAAGATTTATACTAAAGGTAGATTTATGAGCATTGTTAGAGAACAAGCATTTCTCTACTCATTCATAGAGAAGAACTGTATTACTTTGGTCCAGCTGCTAACCCTGAGTTGGGGCTGCAAATTTTCAATTATATCTACAATAGCATTGTAATTATTTGGAAATTGTGAGGCTTATGATTTCAAATCAGAAAATCCAACAGTCCCTTAATACTGTTATCAGCTCCAAGGTCTTATTGGGGCCTACAGAAGTTGGATTTAGGCAATTCTATACTAATAAGGTTAATCTTCCCATGATGGGAAAAATAGAAAACATTGCTATTTCCAAGGAGCTTGGCCTGGGGTACTAGTAGAGAGAGGTGGTTGTAGAGTTGGCATTTTGACACTCATTCAGGAATGTTGAACCTTGAGTAAGTCTGTAATCCCTCTGAGACCAAGTTACACCATCTGTAACATGAAAGGAACTACTTCCTGCCTCATAGGGTATGGTGAGGACTGGATGAACTAATTCATGTAAAGCTAACATGTAGTAAGAAAAATCAACCCTCATCTCTCGGGCAGTTGAGACAACATGCTAGAGCTTAGTGTTTGAGTCTGAACACACAATGGCCATGGCCTATTTCTCTGCCTCCTAACTTCTTCCACGTTTTCCTTACCTAGTTTAGGGTGCACCCACTAGGTTCCCCATATATATAAAGTAGTCTGCCCATGAGGAGCGCATAAGCTTTTGATCAATGCCATATTTTTTCTTCCCTTGACTTCACTGAGGATTAATGCCCACAAGTCTTAATAGAGAGAAGAAAGAGCTGTACACGGAGAGGTAATGGACTGACTGAATAGCTGACGGTACAGGGAAGAAAGAAACAAGGAGAGAAAAATACTGGTGATGGCAGCTGGACCAGCAGGTGATTGTGCTACCTTTGGCCTCAAAATGGTGCCTCCGTCCCCTGAGACGATTAGCAACAAATGCTTTCTTGGTTGAGAAAGTTTGTTCAAATGTTTCACTCCAGGTTTCTGTCTAGGAGAGTTTCAGCATACCGTTACATATTAAATAGGCTGACAAATACTTAGAATAAAGAATCATGTTTTACTTTATCGCTTACTACTAATCAATGCATATTACTGACCAATAACATTTTGGGAAACATCCCACTACCATTTTTTTTTTAATTGGGAATAAAGAATACCCATAAATAAAGAACAAATTCAGGGCTTTAACAAACCGTGATAACTGATGGGAAGATAGAAGGAGGAGGGTTAATATTTAGTGAGTGACTATTATGTATGCCAGAACCTGTGCTAACTACTTTAAAATATTTGCTCATTTCCAGTAGGTTAAATACATGATTCTTAAGTGTTTGTGTCTGTGTGTGTGTGGAAGGGGGGTGGTACTACTGGGTTAAATGCTTTACAAAAGAATACCATGCCCATCTTAGTTTTCCTTTAGTGGGGACATGGTAACTCTTAAAAATGAAACATCCTGAGAACTCATGTAGCCCATGTCCCTGCCTAAGAGCATTGTTTCTGCACGCATTGAGACATTAATACTTATTGGGGCCTACAGAATTGAGAACTCGGAGCGTATCCTCCATTCTCTGCTTTATAAACAGAACTGTGAACCAGATCTGGTATTACCACTTATTAGATATGTAATCTTGAGTAACATACACAGCCTACGTAAATACTGGAAAAAATGATATCTAACCTGTGAGCTTTTGATGATTAGCGTTATAAGGAATAGCTTTATAAGAGATACTCCAAAAATGCCAGCCCTTTACTTTCTTTAGTCTTATGTCCATTCTGACATATTTTTCTCTTATACAAGTACTATAACAAGTATTTTGGACTCCATAAAAATCTGCTAATTACTTAAAATGCTACCATTCTGTGGATGTTTATAGACTGGAATGTAATATATTTGATAATGTACATATATATGAAAGTTATATAAAATAGCAGTTTGTGTTTTGTTAAAGGAAAGAATTACTTTTTAGTCTTCATGCATCCCAAGACCTCTATCTAGTATAACGTCAGGCACAGAGGACTCAGTATGTGTTGTGTAATGAGTGAATGGAAAAATACTGGTGAATTGCTGTAAAATTATACTTGTTTTATAAAATGTGATACAAGAAAAGTAAATTAATACTAAGACATTTTGCATTGGGGGAACAAACCAGGATGAACTTTGAAACGTGGTAGTACCCCTCTTGATGCTAATATGTTTGGCTGACATCAACTCTGATTTTCTTCACTGCTTGCTTTTTCAAAAAAAATTCTTATGTGATAGAAAGTAAAAAGCTGCCTCTTTTTCTGAAAAGTTTGTGTGTCATTCAGAGTGCAGCGGGGAGAGGTCAGAGGGAGCAAGTTCTGCACATCCACAGCTGATAATTTTTTTATATAGAAGCTTTTATTTAACAAATATAAATTTCATAAGTACAACTTTTGGATTATAGTGGTTCTTCCCCCTATACCTGCCCTCCCACCCCCAAACTGTCCCACCTCCTACTCCCTTTCCCATCTCATTCTTCATTAAGATTCCTTTTTAATTATCTTTATATACAGAAGATCAACTCCATACTGAGTAAAGATTTCAACAGTTTGCACCCACACAAACACACAAAGTATGAAGTACTGTTTGAAGACTATTTTTACCATTAATTCTCATAGTACAACACATTAAGGACAGAGATCCTACATGGGGAGCAAGTGCACAGTGACTCCTGTTGTTGATTTAACAATTAACACTCTTATTTATGACGTCAGTAATCACCCGAGGCTCTTGTCATGAGCTGCCAAGGCTATGGAAGCCTCTTAAGGCCACGATCTCCCTCCTCCTCCCCCTCCCTCTCCGAAATACAGCTGATAATTTTGTGATGAATTACAGATCTTCAGTTCTCAGTGTGGGCAGACTCAAAGCAACCACCATAGAGAGGTGACTTCCTTAACATACATTTGACAGTGAGACTTGTTTGTGGGTGAGATTTTTTGTTTATACTTAGACAAATTGGCTGAAATGATTTAGAATTTTAAAATGCTGTTAACTGCATTATTGGATGCGATTTTAGTAAAGTTAGCAGGGCATGTGTTCAGTACAACCGGATGCTCCATCAGTCACTACCCATCTCCCTGGGCCCCTCTCTACTCTCCTCCTCTCCTTTTTAAGGCACTTTATGTTATGTTATGTTATTATTTTTTTTTACAGGCAGAGTGGACAGTGAGAGAGAGAGAGAGACAGAGAGAAAGGTCTTCCTTTGCTGTTGGTTCACCTTCCAATGGCTGCCGCGGCTGGCACACTGCGCTGATCCGATGGCAGGAGCCAGGTACTTATCCTGGTCTCCCATGGGGTGCAGGGCCCAAGCACTTGGGCCATCCTCCACTGCACCCCCCGGGCCACAGCAGAGAGCTGGCCTGGAAGAGGGGCAACCAGGACAGAATCCGGCGCCCCGACCAGGACTAGAACCCGGTGTGCCAGCACTGCTAGGCAGAGGATTAGCCTATTGAGCTGCGGCGCTGGCTCATGTTATGTTATTTTAAACCTAACAGCAGTATCTAGTGTGAGCATATCTTTTTTATTTTTTTATTTTATTTTTTTATTTGACAGAGAGAGAGACAGAAAGGTCTTCCTTCCGTTGGTTCACTCCCCAAATGGCTCCTACAGCCAGTGTTGCGCGGATCCGAAACCAGGAGCCAGGTGCTTCTCCTGGTCTCCCATGCGGGTGCAGGTGCCCAAGCACTTGGGCCATCCTCCACTGCACTCCCGGGCCACAGCAGAGAGCTGGACTGGAAGAGGGGCAACCGGGACTAGACCCCAGCACCCATATGGGATGCCCGCACTGCAGGTGGAGGATTAACCAAGTGAGCCATGGCGCTGGCCCATAAGGCACTTTTTGTTGACTTTTCTTTTGTTCCCACGCTGTGGTACCTCTAGTTGTACATCAGATCTGTAATGTAGCATTTACTCTACTACAATGCTTACAAATATACTGGCAGACTTCTGATGCATTTAACTGATGTGGCTACTCTCTGACTCTTAGGAGAGAGCATCAAAGGAGAGCATCTGGGTTAGTTCAGGTTGCTCTACCACAGTGTTATAGATTGGGTGCTATGAGCAATAGAAGTTTGTTTCTCGCCGTTCGGGAGGCTAAGACCTGAGATCGGGGGGCCAGCATGGTCAGGTTATGTAAGGTGAAGACCCTCTTCTGGGCTGACTTCTGCTGGTTCCTCACCTGGTAGAAGTGGTGGTTTCTTTCCAAGGGCACAGCTCCTATTTCTTAGGGGAGCACCATCATGACCCACTTGCTCCTCAAAGGCCCTGTTCTCTAACGCCATTGTATTGGGGGTTAGGTTTCAACATGGGAGTTTTGAGAGGTCACGGACACAGCATCCTCAAGTGAGGGATGTGTAAGGTGAACTAAAGAGAGTGATCTCTTGTAGGAATGGACTTTGGCTGTGGAGAAGCTGGAGAGTGAGGCCCGGGGGATCCTGCTGTCAAAAGACCATGCGGAGAACGAACATCTGCAGCTCTCTAATCAGAAACTGAATCGGCTTCAAGAGGAATTGGGTCAGCTCATGGTGGAAAGGAAAACCTGGTTACAGAAGGCCAATGAATTTTTCAGCAGTGCTAACAAGGTCAGTGTGAGATCAAGTTTATAATTTTAGGCAATCGGCACACACAAAGGGATCTATTACTTGAACAGGCTGGCAACATATTACAGAAGTCAAACTCCATGTAGAATTTCAAAACTGACAGTGACAAAGAAGAATTTTAGAAATATATCCCTATCATGGCCATTATTTAGTTCTCAAATTTTTTTTTTTATTTTATTTTTTTATTTTTTTGACAGGCAGAGTGGACAGTTAGAGAGAGAGAGAGACAGAGAGAAAGGTCTTCCTTTGCCGTTGGTTCACCCTCCAATGGCCGCCGCGGCCGGCGCGCTGCGGCCGGCGCACCGCGCTGATCCGATGGCAGGAGCCAGGAGCCAGGTGCTTTTCCTGGTCTCCCATGGGGTGCAGGGCCCAAGCACCTGGGCCATCCTCCACTGCACTCCCTGGCCACAGCAGAGGGCTGGCCTGGAAGAGGGGCAACCAGGACAGAATCCGGCGCCCCGACCGGGACTAGAACCCGGTGTGCCGGCGCCGCTAGGCGGAGGATTAGCCTAGTGAGCCGCGGCGCCGGCCCAGTTCTCAAATTTAAAGACTCTATGCTAAAGATTACTTAACCTCATGAGAGTTTTATCTTAGAACTGCCATTGCTCTCTGCAGGCACTTGTCCTGCAGAAAAAAAAAAGGAATTTTTTTTAACCAAAGTCCTTTATTCTTTTTCAAATCCTTTTTAATTTATCAGTAAAAATACATGAATATACATGAATGTTGGAAGCCTTCTGTGTGCAAATTCTAAGGCTTGAAAGGTGCATTGGGCTGAGGGCTGCATCTTTGTCTTGCCTTTTTAAGTCAAGGGGAAATTTTGCTTTGGACCAACTCTAGGTCTTCATGAGATTGAGAAACACTCTGGTTCTTCTGGTTGACTGATTTATTATTGACTGTAGCAGGTGGCTCTTTTTGGGTGATAACATTCACCTGTTCACTTCACTTGAGTAGGGCTCAGTATGTAAAGCCGATGGTGTTTGAAATTATTTTCTACTTTTCACAACATAAAATACACCTTGAAATGATCTTACTGGGATGGTTTAGCATCTTAACAGGCAATGAATGGAGAAATCCTGAAAGCTAGGAACGTTGTGATCTAAATTCATGACATCAGTGTTCTAAACACAGTGTTCTGGTCAATGTCAAAAAAAAAAATGACTTAATTTTGAACTTCTTTACTAATAAGACACTTTTAAAAAAGGATGAATAATTTACAAACTACAGTTGCTAGAATTATCATAAAACTGTTAAATATTATCTGATTATTAGTTGCTTGGGATATCTTTGTTTTAAAAGGAGCAGAGCTGTTACTAGAGCTATTGAACTAAGAAGATGATGTTGAGCGCTAGTTTAGTTTCTCTCTAGCAGTACTATTTTTGAATAAGAGGCTCATAAATTTACATCATATATTCATTCTACAAAATAAGTAGGACATCTGCAAATTGATGAATATTGTTTCTAAGAAAAACAGTTATAGGAGATGTTATAAAATAGTGTTTTCTGGTACACATCATAGTTTATAGCTTTGTAAAATACAGATTTTTTTTCCTCTTTCTCTTGCTTTCTCTCTTCTCATTATTTGGTACTTTGCCAAGGAGTATTTTCTTCTAACATTATTCCTGGGCCCTTAAGGGAGAACCGTGTCTTGAGCAAGTGAGTAGGGTAGAGAGAGAGAGAGAGAGAGAGAGAGAGAGAGAGAGAGATTGAGCATGCAGAGTGTTACTTTCTCAAACTCATGTAGTTATAATTCAGGTCAGCTCGGGAGAAGAGAACTCGTGTTTCTTAACCTCAAAGACTTCTGATTCTAGATCCCTTGTTTCATCATTAAATGTCATGGCATGCTGACAATCCAAATTATAAGCTCAGCTGGGATTTATCCACCCTATAGCAGTTTCTATGGCCACGTGGCACTCAGAAGAGTGTGGAATTCTTGCTTCCTTTTCAAAGCATAAGGAAATCATTTCCAACTCCAAATTTAAAAAAATTTAATGTGAAAGAAAATGGACACTTTTACCTCATTAAAACAGAAATCTGGAGTTTGGAGAGTGGATGCTTAATCATGACTCAAAATGAATTATTCACTATATTATTAAGAAGTAATAAATGATGGAATTATGTAGTGAGTAAATCCATTAAAATGAAAGAACAAAACGTCTCTCATGACTTGCAAATGGTATTTTTCTTTTTGATTTATATTTTAGAAACTACAAATTTAACAAAAATCTTGCCATGTTACCTAAACTTTGGTATAACTTTCAGAAATAACACAAGTTTAAATAAAGGACTGAATTTGAAAAACAAATAATTTCAGATCCTTTAAAATTTTTTCTTGTCTAAAAGTTTATTTACACTGAGGGAAGAGCTAGTTTCAGTTTATGTAATGGATGATTTATCTCTGGAATCATTGAGTCTTCCTGTTGGGAATTCATTTTGTGGTCTTTTGTACTGGGGTTTCCTAGTTGTGAGTATTTCTATTCTTAGATAAAGCCATGCTCTCAAGAACTGTGAGGAGTTGGAGATTTACCCCACTTTCAAGCTGACATGTTATCTGTCACACTTTCATGGGTTCTGACAGAAGATACATGACTTGACAGTTGAGAGACTTTATTACAGCAAACACAATAGCTGAGAATCCTCGTGCCATACCAGTTCCCCAAGGTGATGCTGATGGGCCAGCGTGGATATGTGTACCTGCAGCAGGTGGTATCTGGGAGAAGAGCCCCAAACTTGGGGAATCCACTCTTTACCATGCAGTAAGCAAGCTTGCTCTTTGTCATAGAAGGAGACATTTCTTCAGTCTAAAGGTTGCTATCAGCAGATGTGACACTGACAGATGGCCGAGATAAAGAGGGGTGAAGGTAATGCTTTTTTGGCATACCAGTGAAATGTCTCAGAATACCAGTGACTCATGTAAATCTAGATGTTAGCACTGTGGGACTGGTGGCCGTTGGGAAGGAAGTTAGCACTTGAAAAAAAAAAGATACTTTTCTTGAAACTCATTTTACTCTTGATAAGTATAATTACTTTTCAGCAACCAATCTCTTGTTCTAAATTTGTGGAAGCTAAGTTGATACTCTTTTTCAATTTCTGGTTAAATGTTAGTGGGAAGAAATATATTAGCGTCATGGGTAACATATAAATGGGGGAATAAGGCAGTAAATGCTTAGAAAAGAATGAAATATATCACTTAAACGTTTTTACCTTTTTAATTTTATTAAAATAAAAGGGAATGGGTACCAACACTGATTTACAGAATAAACTATTGTTACTAAGTTTTCCAAATCATACACACATTTTTATCTAGATGTTACATGACTTTTGACTCAACCATCTAGAGCTCCCCTTTTATTATATTCATTTCTTTCTGTGTCAGTTGGGTATAGGAATATTAATATTTCCTAGAGGAAAAAAAAAACAAGAATTCTTTTTTTAAATAGTTAACTAAGTAGTGTGGTGAATTTTTAAAAGCAATTATCATTCTTTAGGTATTCACTTAATGTAGTAAATATGCAACGAGCATGTGCAATGTGTCAAGTACTGTTCTAAATGCTGGAGACATAGGTGAGAACAAAACATACAAAAAGTTAATAAGCCAATGTATTTCCAACTTGTGAAATTCTATGATTATCACCTGGTCATCCACAGGACGGCAATGCCTTTGGCCCCAGTAGAGCGATTACTTTTTAATTCTGTTAGGGGTTGACAGTTACCCAAGGCTCATGAATCTATTTCCCAGAGGAAGTGTCTGCAGTTATGTGGCTTGAAATGTAGGCATCAAACCTGGAGTGAGCAGCAGGTGGCAATATTGAGACATAGGTGTTAGGAATATTGCTGCTGCTGCTGCTTGTCATAAGCAAGTCACTAGCTTCAAGTGGACATGGAGGCATTTAACTCTAGAACCTGGGATGCTTCCTTTTCTTCTTAGAAGGTGCTTCTGTGTTTGGTGAACCTATTTATTAGTGACAATTCCAAGGGTAAGCAACAAATACAAGGTTGTCTATCCTGGATGATAGTTGACTGGAGAAGAGTTCCTGTAATTGCCTGGTGTTGCTGTGAGTTAAGAGGACAAGCAAGGCATAGGAACAGTTTGCTGATTACAGTCACTCATCTCCATCCTTCACAAGCGTAGATTAGCAAACTTACTGTATTGCTAACATATTCACAAAACAGAAGCTCCGGCTAATATTTGTTGATCATTCAAAATTGTTCAGGGAAGGTGACCTGAATTAAACAGAGATAAGTATATAGTGCATGTTTTTAAGAACTGGACAGTGTGAGCCTGTATTTATACCACAGCTATGATTGAACCCGAAGCTGTAAAACATGGATGCTTGATCATAAAGTTTTGTATTTCATGCCTTCCATTCTCAAACACATGACTTCACTGGGGAAAATAAAGCAGAGGAGACTGAAGCCAAATTTATTTTATGAACGTGGTCCAATTTTTGGGTGGTCAGCAGGAAAGCAAAAGTGAGGCAAAAGTTGTAGCTGCCAAAGAAACACCCAAAATGTACTTTGATACATACAGCTGGTCATAGCTTCTATTGCTTTTGAAATTCCTTTTGAAATTTTTATGTCTTATGAAAAGGTGATGTTGCTTTTCAAGATATTTGCCGTGATGTGAAACAGTAATGCCTGTGACAACACCATTGTTTCAGATGAAAGCATAATAATTAAGCATGCATTTTGGTATTTTTTTCATTTGTTTATGTGTGTGTGTGTTAATTCCAAAATTAACATTTTAGGACCAAATATGGGAAACAATGACTTAAAATTGTCTGAAATCTGCTCAAGCAGAGGACCTAAAAATGTCCAAAAAGAAGTTGTTGAGGTGACACTGATGAATTTTAAAAATTAGGGCAACTGTTATTAGACATCAAGGAAAATGTAATTACTTTCAGCTTTCAAATCCTCCAGCAGCCTGAGATTCCTCTAATTGAGAACAGCTTCCCCTTCTCTTTGACACACACAGTGATTTGCTT